TTTCATTTTATCTTACACAATTAAATTAAATATATAACATACACAACGAACATGAAATAGAAAATCACTAAAATCCAGATTAAAAAACCTACATAGTTTATCAATTATAGGATTATTTACAGTTCTAGTATTGAATGTAAATAACTATGAATTCTAGTTTCACAACGCGACCCTTTCATAATTGTCATTATAGCATTATGAGGAAACTCAATCCTTTTAAAAGCAATTATTTTTTATGCATTACCCATAGTAGGTTTATATAGTGAGCAGTTGTAGTTATGTAACCTTTATTAATTCTTTTCCATAAGGTCGATGCTACCATATTTTTGTAAATCATATATGAGCATTTTTTGTGCCCAATAAAATAATCAATGCAAACAAAATGAAGTGTGTTTCTATATATCGTAATGTAGATTCGTTGAAGATAATCTTGCACAAATCTTGTGAAAATATTTGTTGTCTACTATGTTTAGTGGCAACTCAGCACTGGCTACAAATATTCCATTCCTTTACGACATTTTTCTCCCAAATAGATTCACATGCTTAGTGTACTAGAATTTGTACCAGAAGAAGAAGTACCAAAATGAAGTTGTATTTGTGTTTGATAATACCTTCATGTTTGGCCAAACATTTTTTTAATGTTGATTGAGGTGAGTAGTTCCGATTTCCTTTTGTCATGCCAATTTCGTTTGATAATATTTGCATACAGCTTTAAATTTTTTATCTCTATCTAATGTATAGCCCGTGGAAACCAATTTGAAGAGTACCCAACATTTCGCAGTTTATTTGTTTTAGCTTTTCTCTCATATTGACTATTTCGAGTTTTGATCTTCATCAATGTTATCCAAATCAATTAGATGACTACTCTTGTGCATGCTTTGATGTCCAAACCTTCGAAAATTTCAGATTTTATTAAGACTAGAAAACTCATTATCGAATTAGGATTTTGATATAAATGGTGAGTTACTACTACCAAATATGGCCTCAGCCTAACGACTGGGATCTATTATATCACAAGAAATTGGAATATATAAATACGAAAACAAAAAATAATAAGTAAATAATTGAATTGAAGATGAAGTCAGAGAATACAAATAATGATTAGGAATAATTAAGTAATAAGAATTGAATAGAGAATGAGAAATTTAGATTGTAAAATGTACAAAATAGATTATAGAAAATTGATGTGAAAAATGAGTTGAAAATGTTGGGTGTTTATAAAGTTTTCTAAAAATAAAAATAAAAATAAAAATAAAAATGAAAACTAAATGACAACGGGAGACCCCAGCAATCACTTTAAAAGTGAAAATGTTCCAAAAATGTGACCGTTTGATCATATTTCTCGAGGGCTCGTGGCTAGTGAGCTGTGCTAAAGAGCCACTCGCCTCATCCTTGGACAAGTTCAAGCAATCCACTGATCGAGTCTAGATGAATCGCTTGACCCAATTGTTACCCCTAATTATACATCTCGTAAATGGGACCATATTCCTATTTGTGCTGCCTAGCTGCTTCGCGTTCACCCACCGATCCCTTTCTTAGATGATGTCATCCATTGTTGCCTTCAAATTTGTGAACTAGACAATGTTACGGTTGTATGAACTCCTACTTCGCTCGAGTACAGGCGTGACCTTTCGCTTGATCCTTCAAGATTCACAATCTTAACCTCAGTTGCACGATAATTGGGTAGTAATCGAGGAGACCTAGAGGCTTTGCGACTTGGCATTGGATCTTTTCCTTTATATGTATGTCCGGATTTTGATTGTAGGTTGTTGGTCTTATTATTATCATGGATCTCTTTCTTGATAAAATTCGTCAAGTCATCATACGTCTTAAGTACTCAGCTACAAACGTCTCTCTAAAAAAGGAGTAGTCTTATCTAAATTGAACCTGAAAGCTTGAAAAGTAGTATCATGTGGAATGCTTTCCATTCTACCATTTGTTGGGTGAAACGAATGATATAGTTTTGCAAAGTTTCACTGGGGCCTACCTTATGTCATGGGAACACTATTTTAAAAATTGAAGTTACGAGTGTCAAGGGTTACAAGTCCTTTTTTAAGGAAAAACTGCATCACAAGTTCCAAACCTTTAATTTTATTTATTTTTGTGACCGTAGTCCCAAAACTTTATATTTAACCGTAGTCATGGTCCAAATCATTGATTCTATCCAAAATGCCTTTAGTCAACAGTAAAATTACAATTTCGACTCAAATGGACAACTTAAGTCGAGCAATTTTGTTGAACCAGAAATCCCTCTACAGAATCATATCAATTTATGCTTGTTACATTTCCACCATTTTGAAAGAAAAGCACAAATCAAAATCATTCTCTTCTATTCAACACTAGATCCACAATTTTGAAGATTATGATTAAATAGATATAACCAGCCATCTTAGAAGCTCCCTTCCAGAACCTGTTTATGGTTAATTTTCAGATTTTTTTCCAATTTCCCTATTTTCCAAAATTTGTTGGAAAAATTGCAGAAAATGTTTATTGATTGGGTGCAAAGCATGTGCTTTAAACATGGCATTGTGTTCTTGTATATGGTCGTTGTTCTTGAACACACTTGTAAGGGTGGATGGCGACGTCCAGTTAAAAATGCATTCAAGTGCAGCAAAGAACATAATGTCATTTTTATAGCACATGCTTCGCGAAAAATCATTTAACATTTGTGCAATTTTCCCACCGAATTTTGGAAAATAGGGAAAAAGAAAAAAAAATTGAACATGAACCATAAACGGGTGCGAGAAGGAAGCCTTTGAGATGGCAGGCTATGTCTGTTTCTACACAATCTTCATATTCATGGGGATCCATTGTTGAATTGGAGAGAGTAATTTTGATGTTTTGCTCTTCTTTCAAAAAGATGGAAAATGTGACGGGCGTAACTAATATGGTTTTGTAGTGGAATTTTTGGTTTGACAATTTCCCCTTCATTTAATTTGTCCATTTGAGTCAAAAATTATAATTTCAATGTTTGACTAACGAAATTATGAACATAATTTGTGATTTGGACCACAACTGCAGTTAAATATAAAGGCTTGGACTGCGACCGTAAAAATAAAAGGTTAGGGTATCATTTGTAGCAAAATGAAATGTTTGGAATCTACGTTACATATTTCCTATTTTTTAAACTTTTAACAACAAGCTTCTAGAAGAGAAAATTAGAAGGAGAAGAAGCTGTAATTAAGCCCCTATTTTGGTTGTGATTAAAATTCAAATTTTATTTAAGTCAAAATCAATAATTAATTTTAAATAAGCCCCGTTTGATATTCATTTTTTTTAAAATGTATTTTTCTCTCTCTTCTTTTAAACCACACATTCTTTATTAAAATAATATTATACGTAAATCAAAAAAATTTCCTTATTTTTCAACCACACATTTCACATCAATTTACTATTCTAAAATGTATTTTTATATAAAAATATCTATCAAACACCCACTATATATTTTATGAATTTCACAACTTTTCAATCATACATTTCATCAGCTTGTATCGAAACCTATTAAAAATTTGATTTTGAACGCCACCAGAGGGCTAAATATTGTAAAAAGAAAGAAAATCAGGATGAAAAAGAAAAAAAAGAGCAATTTAAACAGAAATAAGCCCGTCATAAAAAAAATGGGGGATTTGATAAAAACGCCTAGTCAAACAATGATTTTGATAAAATAACCTTCCTTCAATGTTTCTTGGTCAAATGGCCTTCATTTATAAAATACAATAAACAAATAATGTCAAATATCTAAAATACCCTCATCATGGAAAATACCCAAATACCCATTTTAATCCAATTAAATCCCTCAATTCATCTACAAAATGCATTAACCTGTTTTCTTTGTGATTTCTTCCCTAAAATCTTGATATTCATTGTATTTTTCTTCTATCTTCTCCAACATTGTGAGCATTTGAACAAGAATTTTATTATCTATATTATCTACATTGAGATTTTCACTATATTTAAAGAAAAAAGAAAGGTATTTTTAGAAATCTCATTTACATTGGTACTTTTATTGTTTAATATAGTATAAAATGATATTTTAATTGATTTTATTTTCTCATTTGGTGTATATTTGTATCGTCCGCAACTATTGGACGATAACGATTGGAAACGACAGTCCAGTCATTATCTGTAGTGTAGAACGACACTACAGTCGTTATCTTCCATGTAAAGTGACAGTACAATCATTATCTGTTATGATCTGTCTCTTATTGATAATATATTGTGGTTACTTTGATAATTTAAATATTCTAACTATTTTCATATTATTTTAATATATACTTGAATCGATGAAGTCATAATGATAGATATTTATTTTTTGTTATAACAAAATATCACGGTACTATTTCGAGTATTTTACCTAAAAAATATAGAAATGATGTTTAGATATTAAATATCATTGATCTAGTAACAATTTATTTTTAAATATACAAGTTATCAATTATTCGTATCGTGTTTACATAAGTAACGACACTTGTTCTGTTTTCATAACAGTAACATCACTAGTGTTGTTCTCATTTTTCATGTTGTCCAAGCAATGAGAGTATCTTTCAAATTATGTGAGCGGCATGTCCATTTCGCAAATTACATGAGTTCAAATTATGGAATATCGAGGTCTGGAAGGCGTGTGACTGCTCATACTCGTGTTTATCGACAGAACGACACAAGTGACATTTAATGGCATCTATGTTGTTCTGTTGGTTTCTCCTATATTTCGCTTTATTTTCACCACGTCGACCTTAAGGATCGGGCCTCCTAACTTAAGAAAGTCAAAATTATTAATTACGTAACAAATAACAGAAGAATTGGCATAGATTGTAGATATCGCGTTGGTGAAATCACAAGTCACCATCCACATTCATTAGAAAACTAAAGTAATGAGGGTATCTCCCAAATTATGTGAGCAACATGTACATCTCGCCACTCGTATGAGTTCAACTTCTCGAATATAGGGGTCCGGAAGGCTCGTGGCTACTCAAACTCGTGTTTATTGACAGAACGTGCATATTTATTTCGAAGTTGATTGTTACTATTTCTGTCCACTTTCTTTGGTTCTTTTATCTTCTTGTTTGGGCTTTCCCTGCAAGGTATATGGGAACTTGCCAATTTGTGCTGCTTCGAGTCCTTACTGAGCACACCGGCTGCTCTGTGTAAATTATATAGTGTAAATAGCTGCAGAGGTCCCCCAACCTTTGATGCATGTTGCACTTTTGTCCCTAACCTTCAAAAAGGAGAATGTGTGTCCTCAACCATTCATTTAGTAGAACTTTGATCCCTACCGGACAATTTTGCGCTTATTCTCGTTTAACAAACAAATTTTTTTTTAAATGACAATTTTGTCCTAGAAAATAAAAATAAGAATAGAAAAAAAAAACTTTAGATCTTCTCCCAACCCACCAGTTCGCTGCAGCCAACCACTTCCATTTTCACCACAATAAAATCCCGAAGCTCTGAAAAGTCATTTTGTACCATCTTAAATTGATCACTTTATCCATTAAATTATACTTCAATACATAGTTCATAGGACTTCTCTGCTTTAATAACCGTATATACGTTTGGCAAGTATTTATAACATGTCTATAAATGCTTGCTAAAAGTCAAACCACTTTTATTCACATATTTTGTGAGACCTACAAGTATTAGCCACTTATCCACAACTCATTTGTATTTGTTTATAAACATGACTATTTATAAACACTTGCCAAACATATACTAAGTTCCCAATTTTGTTATGGAATGCCTTTTCCACTAGAAATTGAAGAAAATAAGGGCTTAGGAAAAATAGAAGACTGATAGGGTTAGTTTTGTGGCAATCTTTGCATTGTTGGGCAGTGTAATGATAATGAGAGAATAAAAGCTTCTCTATAACATCCCTATTTTCTGTTTGATTTCTGTTTTTGAAAGGTTTGGCGTTTTGAGATGATTTGGTAGGAAGGCAGGTGGTTGTTTGCATTAGGTTAGGTGGGTGGGCGAGTCAATTGGAGAAGAAGATGAATTTCTTTTTCTTTTTCTTTTTATTTTCTTGATTTTTATTTAAAAGGCAAGGGTAATTCATCTTTATTATGATATTTCAGCTTGTTAACTGAAAATAAGGGTAAAATTGTCCATTAGAGATTATAGTTCTACTAAAATGAGAGGTTGGTGTTGCAAATGCTCCATTTTGAAGGTTGGGGACAATAGTGCAAAGCGTATCAAAGGTTGGGGACTTCTGGTACTATTAACCCAATATATATAAAACACGAATAAAGGAAGAAAATGGAACAATGAATAGAAGAGAGTGTAATGGTGAAATTAAGTTTTAGTTCCCACTTTTTTTAAGTCTCTTTTATTATTATTTTTATTCCTTGCACTTTTAAACTTTCAATGATTTTGTCAAGTGGATGATGTAGTTATGTAAATGTTTGCCTAGGCTATTGCCCAAGGCCATCTAGGCATTTTGAAACGCATAATGAAAGAAAAGAAATAAATAGCTATTATTAAAATGTATATCTCGACTTATATAGAATTGGGCAGAAAATACCACCACTTATTGAGGAATAAAATATTTCTTTGGTATTGAGTAATCCGTTATTACTACTTTTCTAAAAAGATAGAAAATTGTAATATCTTACTAATTTGTTATCTTTATATTCCAACAATTATAAGGTAACATTTTACAATGAGATACCAATTCCCTCCTAAGAATCTCTGATTCCAAATTCTAAACATTAGCTTAGGAACCTTCTTACTCTCCTGAAATATACTTTTCTTGGTTCTGTTTTATGTACTACCTATGTGGGAAAGAAAAGCTATATTATTATTTTGTGTAATATTTCTGTAGCTTGCTCTTTTTTTTCTTTCTTTCTTTTTTTTAACTGATTCAGGTTGATCATTTGAAAGTAAATGTAGAGTTCAAATAAATAAAAATATTTGCTCTTCATTTTAGATTTAAATTTCAAAATCTTCTGGTCCTCTTTTGAGAATTCTCCCATGCGTGAAATTTGGGTATTTTTCTCATGTTGAAATGCATTTTGCATAAAATAGGGTCGTTCATGTCTTTGCTGCTAAGATATATCAATATATAATTGAGATTGGAACTGGGTTCAGTATTTTACCCCTTGTGGAAGTTTGCATATAAAAAGCATGGGTAAACGGCATATTAATGTTGTATTACTGAACCAATCTCATTGTAGCTTATATGTTCACGAGATAGTTCTTCCACGATCACAATGCTTGATTATTGTTTCTTCAGGTGGCAGAGAGGGCTTTATTTTTATGGAACAATGATCATATCGAGAACCTGATCAAACAAAATCGTAAAGTTATCTTGCCGATTATCTTCTCTTCCTTGGAGAAGAATGCAAGAAACCACTGGAATCAGGCAGTGCAGAGCTTGACACTAAATGTTCAAAAAATCTTCTCTGACACTGATCCCGAGCTCTTCGAGGAATGTTTACTTAAGTACCAAGAAGATGAAGCACAAGAAGAAGAAATCAAAACAAAGCGTGAAGCCACTTGGAAGCAGTTAGAAGACACTGCTGCTATGAAAGTGTCAAGTAACGAACCAGTGCTCGTGCTTCACAAGTTAAGCACAAACACATTGTCTGGCTAGAAACGCTGGGACCTTTGTTTGGCATGTTACTCTCTGGGCTTGCGAATTTTGGTGCTGACCAAGAATACAAAGCATGGGATTGGGGGTGGAATTGTCTCAATTGCTTGTATTATTGTGCTCCCTGTTTTGGCCCATCAACCGAACAGGGTGAAGGTCACTGCTTCCAAACATTTTCGGTTTTAGAGACTATGGCTGTACATATATAAATGGGTGACAGAGAACTGGAAAGTCGAAGGTTTGCATTGACTGTTACATTGAGGGAATTTGGTCCCGATATTGGCCTTTTTGTTGTTAGAACAGAGCATGATGATGTTAAAATTAGTATATTTTTTGTGTTTTGTTTCAATATTTTTGAACTGGGTTTCGTTTATGTACTCTAATCTGCAATTATATATGATTATATTTATCATTGCGATTTGTCAGAATCATTGCCTGGCATGAAATGTTACTGTAGATTCTTTTTGTGTGCATGTTTGGCTGTTCTTGCTTTTAAGTTACCTATTTCCTGTCTGATAATTATTATCGTAGAGGGGGCGTGTTCTACTACTGAACTATGCAAAATACGAGGAAGCAGAGGCTTCTAATTTATTAATACTTAGCCCCCGTTTTAACTCATTTTTTGAGAGTAGGTTTTTTAAAAATTGATTTTTTGGAGAATGTGTGGTTAAAAAGGAAAATTTTTTAGTTTACGTTTAGATATATTCTTTTGTGAGCGGGTTCTGAAATGATTCTAGCAACCGCACTGACTTTTACGACCGAAGTGTGTGCATGACAGTGTGTGTGATATTGTGGCTAGAGTTTGTGAGGTGAAGTGTCGTGTTTGTCGCTTTATTTTCAAGTGGGGATTAAAGTGTACATGAGTTTGCCTTTTTTGCTACTTTTGACTCGATTATTACCATATGAATAAATTGTATTTTGTTACTTGTATTGTCCACAATTTGTGGTGATTTAATTTAATAAAATTTTGATCGGTTTGACTAAAAATTATATATATTATTGAGCTGTTGTGAACATGATTGTAAACGAAATCGTATTCAACAATTAAACACCTAAACATTACAATGAAAAATTATGTCATCATCAACACTGAAAATAAAAAAAAACAAAAAAAACACCTCAAAAGCTGGAACCACCTTTGGATCTTCGGTGTATCTAACACTTTTTTTAAAAAAATAATTAAATAAATAATTGCACTATATTTTAATTGTACTTAATGTCCTCTATCTTTATTTATTATAACGTTAGTATCCTAACTTTTTTATCTAATTCTTATTTTCAACCTTCCATTAATTAATAATCTTTTCTTTGATGATGGTTTATGTCAAAATATTTTGTATGCATACATTGAAATAAGGAAAAAGTAGTTTCTCACACTTCTACATTTGTTATTTCTGAATGGAAATCGTTATAAGACGAGATTTACTAATTAATAGAAAGTTAGAGATAAAAATATATTAAAAAAGTTAAAGACTAAAGTGTTAAAAGTGAATGAAGATTGAGGACCAAGTGCAGTTAAAATGCAGTGATAATAACAACAACAATAATAATAAATATGGTGTGAATATAATTACCCTTGGTAAAAGGATAGTTATATTGCCACCAGAATTTGTATTTATTACACCACACTTATATATACTAAGTTGAACTCCAACCTTAAGGGTCCTCCATCGCCTTGCCCCTAGAGTAACGTGAGAGAGGTTAATCACGGAATATGCCCCAACAAGCCAGGAAATAAGTTACCTGTACACTGGTGCCCACAAAGAGTCTCAATTTTGTTGGTAAGATTGGATGAGTCTCAAACGAACTAAAGAAAATAAAATTTGGGATAGAAATTTAAAAGAAGAAAATTGTACTCTCAAAACTCAACTTCTATGATTCAAATTTTTTGTGATGATGAAATACTACAAATAAGCAACATTTTTATACGATATTTGATATATAAAAGTTAATTGTTAATACATGGATTTAAACATCCATTAAAATTCTTAGATACATGAATAAAAATAAATTCATCTATAATAATTATAGATTAATATATACCAAGATTCATCGATGCTTAGCTTATGTTATGCACCAGGTGACGTGGTACACTACAATAGGTAGTATAATTAATTTTATAACTAAACATTATCTCCTACCATCTATTGTATTAGTTTTTATATTTCATTAAATACAACACAAAATACTGCCCTACTCAAAAAAAAAATTTGGTTCATCTCTACATTCTCCACTTATCCGTCTATTGCTAAGTAGTCTTTGAATATCAAATGGACCTCTCCAGAAAGTATTTTTAATGTGATCGGTTTTTCCTTCTTCTATGATCAGTTTTGTTATTGCACCTGCTGCTCTAACTAATTGTCCAGATGAGGGGATGTAGTGCAGGAAAAAAAAATGTGAAAACGTCTTTAGTGGAAAAAAAATTTGAGGGGGTGTAGTGTATGAAAAAAAGGTGAAAATATCGATATGAAAATTTCTTTACTGGCTTTAATGAAGAAATGGCTTTTATGTAGATTTGTAGGAAAAAATAGGAAGAAATGTTTTAATGAGGTTAGATAAGCTTTATTATTTAAATAATATGTCTGTCTTTTTCTACCGTCTTTAGAATCTCCTATCAAGGAGCTCAGTCATTGAAAGATAGAATGCTTAGTAATTCACAAGTTGATTTATAGATAAATGATTTAATGAACACCAGTACTTATATTATGCTAAGCACCGTTAACATATCATATCAATCTATCGGTAGATAATAAATTCAATTAAAATGTTGAAATATACCATATATTTATTCACCAATGAACTAATATGTCATATTTTTGGTAATGTACGAGAGACTTGAAGATCTTATATGATCACGAATGAAAAACTTTTTTGAGATCAAAAACCTTCTAGAAAAACTTACTAGTAAAATCCACTTGAAAAATTAATTTACAATTAATCCAGACAATGTAAAACTTGGTGATTTGACCACCTAATTTATAAATCACCAAGGGCATCATTTGATTGTGCGACCTGCACTTCCCAACAAACCTGGACTACTTTTCTCTTCTAGTGGATCAATAAGAACGAATTCATTTCTAAGTGATAGAATTATAGGCACCTCTTATCCAACTTTAGAACTCTGAAAGCTTATAGATAAAGGTAGGGTTTTTGGTGTTTGATCAATAAAACTTTTGTGTTTTGATCTCTGGCAGAGGCAAGAGATTATGAATATATGGATTTGAATTTCAATATATATTCTCTTGACTTAAAGCATGGTTCAACCAATGTAATAAGGTTTGGGATGAATTTATGAAAAATAAATCAAGTGGTTGAATCTAGAAATCTTTGAAATTGTTGTTGATCTTCAAGAATGTGGTTTCTATAATGCATATAATGATTCAACACATCTTTCGAAGAATTATGGTATGTAAATTTATAGTAGGTAACGTTTGGGGGTGAAATAGGATTGAAAAATTATTTTAAAATTGAATCAAGAATCTGGTCGAATGTCATCACTATTCGAGCACTGGTCTCACGCCAAGCTACACCTCCCCCGCTCAAGATCCAAGCTCATTGTTACGAAAATATTTGTTTCATTTGAAATACCACAAATGCAAAGTTCGTTCGCAAGTAGTAAAATAAATTTTGAGTCCAAGTATCATGCCCACATAGGTTGTATTAGTTCTAATTCGATATAACTTAACCTTAATCGAAACTATGAAATTTTGTAATTTCTCTAAAATTAAATTATAATAAGTTAATCTACTTGTGAATGAAAAACCTAAATTAACTAAAATCAATACAAATTTATGATGAATGCAAATTTGATTAACATATAGTGATAAAAGCGCACTAGGAACCCGAATCCTATTGTATTAACCTCCTTTAACCTTAGCCTTATAATTTCACGACACAATTCAATTACGAAGATCAAGATTCCTAAATTGTTTAATAATCTCTCTCAAGTAGAATTAAACATTTTCTCACATAGGACCCGACTATGTTTCTATGACGGATGGGAAGATGCAAGAATGGCTTAAAGATTTATGAATACTTAAAGATCAAGTAGTGCATAGTGGTATATTTCTATTCCTTATCAGACTCTATGATGATTAACACCATGTCTAACTTATTTTTGATCTTTCGAGGGTAAAATATTCCATAATGTTTATACAATCATTGTGCAGGTAATTGTAAAAAAGATAATTCCATGAAAATTATTCAATAATTGAAAACGTGCTTTGAATGTCAAAAATATAAAATCAAGAGTTAAAAGTTCATGATACAAGATTTATCGTAATCCGAGCACTAAAAATACTCAACCTAACATGATGTGAAGAATAAAGCTTAATAAAAGTTGTTCATCATCTGAAATTTTTTTAATTCAATCTTGATGTGTTCTTGACCTCTTTTTGTAATTAATTTTTCAATCCTAACTATGTGTTGAGAGTTGATATTTATATTACTCTCCAAGAAGTCTTAAAAGTCCCTAGAATTCATGCAAATAATGGCCCAAAAGGAAGAATCCCGCTTCGAATAGAATTCAAAACGAAAAATAGCATTCTGGTTACTTATTGTCCTGGGCGATCGCCAAGGCAAAACCTGAGTGATCACCCAAGCATAAAGTTTTGCTTCTAGTTTTGGTCAATCAAGTAGGACGGTCAATTATCAAGTTATAACAACTTTGAAACTTTGCATTTTGATCCCCAAATTTGATTCTTGATTCTTTTAAGTCCTTTTCTCTTGTAACTTCAATCCTCCAACTTATAATTGTATCAAATTGAACCTGCAACATCTTCAATCTTCATTTTTTGGCCTAATCAACTATTGAAATGTTGCAATTTTAGTTCCTATATTTAAATTTCATCTTTTATTTTATAATTGCTTAAAAACAGGTCCAAAATTGAAATAAAAGGAAATTAAATTAAATTAAGTAGAATATCAAATAGTTTGAGGACATAAAAATTTAGTAATATGGCCCGAATAAGTAAAACACACTTATCAAACACCCCATAAAACCTTTACCCTCGAACAAAACAAAACTTAGGATTAGGACATATTACTACCTAAACAAATCACAAAGAACAGACTCATTGTTGAACTGCTTACAATATGCCCTAAGTTCAAATTTAAGTAACACTTTAGAAAGACGCAAACAATATCAAAAATTAGATTTTTACTTATCTGATGTTCGACTTTGTGTGTGTGTGATTAGCCATTATTGAACTTACATCCATACTAGAGCACAACCAATTAAATGTTTTTGATTTACTCACAATCTTAGTCTTCCTGTAAGTAGTTTTTCCTCATACCTCTCGTGCAAATCGTTCCTTATTTTTATCTAGTCCCAATGTAATTCTAGCACATGTGATTTTTTAAGAATTATTATAATGCATTTTCCTCACAAAGTTATCAGAATTAGATATATGTAAACTTAGAAAAGAGA